GCTCAGGTCTCCCTGCTGCTCTCTCTGCCTCGCAGCTCCGGATTTGTCTTGCGCTCCTCCCCGGGCCTCCCGCCTGGAGGTGTGGGCTGCTTGTAACTCCTGGCTCCCGCTCAAGCTCGACCTCCTCAGCTCTCGGGCCGTTTTCCCCGTGTCCGACGTCCCCTCGGACCTTCCTGGCTTGGAGCAGCGCCACTCACCGGCACCCCAGGCAGCCCCGGCTCCCCTGCTGAGCGGGTGGCTCCCGCCTGGCGCGCCTGCCTCCTGCCTCGGCGGGGAGCGCTCCTCCAGTTCTCCAAGCCTCTCCCCACCTCCTCCCCTCTTGCGGGGGCCGGGACTCTTGATTTTTTACTTGGGGGGGGGGCTCAGCCGCTCGTGAGGTGCCCGACGCCTAGATACCTGGCTTTATAGCTTCGGGGGTCTCCATGGCAATGGCTACCCCGGGGAAGCGGGCTCCGCCGTCAGGACAGAGACGGACAGGGCGAGGGAGACCGCCCCTGACCCCCACCCCTTCGTGGGCCATGAAGTTGGGGAGCGGCTCCTCCTCCGCGCTCCCCTGGGAATGCGGCGGCGGCGTGGGGGCGGGGGCGGAGGCTGCTCGCCGGGGGGCACATGCACCCGGCGGGGCCAATCCTAAAGCCGCAGCCTTCTTTCCCCGCCCCCCGCCTCCGCCTGAGTCGGTACCCTCCGCTGCTTAGAAACTGGCGGGAGCGCCTGCCATCGGTTCTAGGTTAAAGGGACTGGGACCCCATGAAGATAGAACTGAACAAAACACGGGCTTGACTGGAGTGGGGGGTCGGGGGGCAAGAGACAGAAGAGTAATTTGGGATATGAGGCATTTGTGCTCCGGACTGAGGGCGCTCAGTCTGGCTGATAACTGCCATCCAAAGTGCAGCGAATCAGTCACACACCATTGTGCCTCCCGCACACGCTCACTCAGAGCAGGGCGGGGGTGCGTTCTCCAACCTCAGGCGTCTCCAAACCTGACAGCGCGCCCGCATGCCCGTTCCACGGTCGCTGTGGAGCAGGCTAACTAGACACCGGCCGCTGTGACCCAGGGCAGGTGCCTTAGGAAGGACCTGAGAGTGCAGGCATTAGTACTATCCGGGCACTACCTCCTAGCCCCTCCAGGACAAGCTATGGTCCAGGAAAGGGCAAAAGACAAAAGTACTCCTCCTCGGGGATGGATTCTCTTGAACATAAAATCATCTCTAGGCCACAGGGCTCTAGGCCTGCCCTTTAAAGAAAGGGGAGAGTCTGAGATCCATTTCAATCACTGGATCGCTTCTTCTTTTGGGGAACCAGCTGCTTGGCTGCTGGGGGCCAGTGGGGGTTGATACTGAAGGCTTCAGCTGAGATGAGTTAACAATGAATGCTTCACAGCTTCCCAGGTCCAGAGGGCACAAGGATAGTTGGAATGGAATTTATGTGTAGAGTAAGTGAAGAGCTAGGGATTTTTCCCAGCTGGTAGAGTATTTGTCCAATATAAACAAAACCATTAGTTCCCAGCATTGCATGAAACCAGGTGTGGTGCTGCACACCTGTAACCCCAGCACTTGAGAGGCAGCAAGCAGGAGAATCAGAAGCCTAAGATCATCCTTGGCCTCATGAAGACCCCTGTTTCAAAAGAAGAAAAGGTGGACTACTGAATCAACTACTGAATTTCTGAGATGTCATGAGTCCATTGTTGTGTTTCCAGCAACGGGAAAGACAGATGCACAAAATGGATCCTGAATGAATGAGATTCGCCTTCTCAGTCAGGCAGACAAACCCAGCATATGACAAGGGGAGGCTGTTGCCCAAGGACTGACTGACTACATCTGCTAAATACTAAACTCAGCCAGCCAGTGGAAGGAAGGATGGAATGATGGGGGAGAGAGGGATCTGGGGTCTTCTGAAGACAGCAGCCAAAGGTGGTTGGTCCTTCAAGGACGAGTGATGTTGGGCTGCTAAGCAATAGGAAGATGGTCCAGACAGAGGAGTTACAGAGACAAAGGCACCTAACAAGGACAACTGTAGGGAATAACGTTGAGGGTTGTGTTCAGGGGTCCCATGCTGTAAGAGTCAGGAAACTCAGTGAAGAACTGAGGGGTCCCCAGCCTGGCAGGGCAGGAATATGCTTTGTAGATGGCTCCTGAGACACAGGATTTGGTGAGGAGGGCTCTTGATGCTGCTGGAGATAAAAGGCCCAGGACCCCCCCCCCCTCCGCTCCCCCTCCACGGTGCCTTCTGGAACTCCTGGTTCCAGGATTTGGAACTCCTGGTTCCATGGATTTGGGCCAGACCGTAAGCAGGGACTCACACTCAGCCTTTGAGGACCATGTACAAACTGCACACCCTGTGAAGTGAGCCCCACGCTTTTCTTGGCACGAGAGCTAGGTCTGTGGCATGTGCTAACAGTGTCACTCCAAACCTTCATTGCCTGTCTTTAAGAGGCATGACAACTCAGCCTGCTCCGCACAAGACCAGGGGCCCTGTGTTAGAGACAGCACCACATCATTATTTAGAGGGTGGCCCTTAAAGTCTGTCCACCTACGACCAGGTGACACTCTTCACTCCCAGGAAGGGAACAGGGATGTTCTCCCTCTTGAAAGGCTTTTGTCCCTTTTGGACTCCAGTTTTCCCTGTTTGCATTATGAGAGAAAACACTTTCTTCCCCTGTCTGCCTTCGGGATCGGGAGAAAAGTTAAGCTGTGTACCTCTAGGAGGAGAAAAGCAACAAAACCCAGGGCATTGGCCAAGCCCTTCCTCCCAATGGACCAGTTCAGCTTTGTTTGTGCCCCTATTGCCTGTGGTGGAAAGAAACAACTTTGGGGACTGGGGCGGGGGGACGGGGTGGGGAGTAGTTGGGTCAACGCCCTCTCAGAGCCTAGCTATTCTGTGCAGAATTCTCAGATGGGCAGTGATCCCAGGTCTCAGGCTCTACAGCCTTTGCTCTGACTTTCTTCCCTGGGTTCACTATGTTCTGAACAGAAGCGAAACAGCAAAGCTGAAAAAAAAAAAAAAAAAAAAGCAAAGCTGAGACTCCACTGTGGAGCACAGACCCACCAGCAGCCGGAATTAGAAGCTGTCGCTGAGGGAGCTGAAGGCTGACGGGAGAAGGAGCTATGCTGGCAGGGGGCAGGCAGGCACTTCACACTCCTCCCCTCCTACCTGCCCAGCTTCTCCTCCCCCAGGCCCAGGCTGGCAAAAGGGCTTCCTCCTAGAGGTGCCTCAGTCTGCAAGTCTGTCTGTCTGTAACTGCCCCTCCCCGCCCCCTCCTTTCCTCCTCAAGTGTCACCAGCCCCCTCACCCTGTCACATGGGGGGTGTAGGGGGTGGGGTGAGTCAGCAGAGGATCTGGTACTGAGTCAGCCAGGGGACTGTTAAGGGATGAGGACCCTTCTCCATGCAAAAGGTAAATGGAAATCCTGAGTGAAAAGGGGCCCTGTCCCTGGGGCACAACAGGGATGGAACCCAGGTGTCTTTCACCTGACCAGTGCCCAGGACTCAAGGGAGAACATCAACTCTTCCTCTGTACTTCCCCAGTGGCCAGAGATTAACTTCTCTTCAAGGCCTAGAGACAGCATTTGCCCAGGGGGAGAACAGGTCCTTTGGTTTCGATTGAAAGCAGACTGCTTGAGAAGCCGTTCAGAGGCCCCTTCCGGAGGCAGGATTGAACCCTCTTCCCATTCCTGGGCTGCTCAGTTCAATCCTGGCCAGGCAAGAGAAGAACTGAAGGCAGTTTTTCCTTGCCCTGTGGGTTCATGGATATTGACTGTGGCTATTGCCCAGTGGACTGCGCTAGTTCTGATGGATGCCCATGCACCTGGCTCTTGATCCTAGCCCCAGGAGGTAGGAGGGATGGGGAAAATAGGACTTCTGGCAATGGGTTGAGGTCAGGGTTTTGCTCTGGAGTGTAGATGTCCCACCCTGGTGGTATCCAGTGTGGCTATGACAGGGAGGCTGGCTGACAAATGTCAGACATTAGTTGTATGAATGAACAGGCTTTAGCTTTTCCCTGTGGTCAAGGACTGGTAGGGACCCCTGGGGTCAGGCCCTGAGAGGGAAAGGGGGGGGGTGTCCCTGTTTATTTTCCAAGGGCACAGGTGCTCACAGTTAATGGCATCTGTTGTAACTCTCGGATAAGAAAACAACCTCTTCCCAGAATCGCCCCACCCTGCCAGCCCCATTTGGGATTTGGGATGGAGCTGAAGGTGTAGTAAAGGGCTGCCCACAAACCCTGCCTCCAGCAAGCACTGGAATCTGCTGCAGCAGAGGCAGGTCCCCAAATGCATGCTCACTCTAGCTCTTCCTAAAGAGGCCCAGATAACCTAAAGGTCTGGGGTTACCAAGAGGGCGGAGTGCACTTTTCTACTGGGAACTTCTCCAGCCCTGAGGGTGGAGACAAGGAAGGCCACATCTGTGTGGGAGTGGAGAAGGGGGGGGGTGACATCATCCTCCAGTGGTTCTGGCATCAGGGCCGGTAGATGGGGAAGCAACTCCTGTTCCACGCCAAGGACAGGGTCATTTTATGGGGGCCACAGAAGGCTCCCAGGGGACCCACCCCCATCCCCATTCAAGCAGCTTCATTTCAAAGACATTCCAAAGACATCCCTGCTGTCTTTTCCTAATCTGAGAACAGAGGCCAGCCTAAGGCAGGAAATTCCAGGTTAGGGTTCTTTGATAGGCACGGGAAGGAGTAAAATAAATAAACCACATACATCCAGGAAAGAAAATGATGGTGAACTCTGCAAGCAAAAGGGTGAACCAAGTTCAGAGTGGGAAGAGACAGCACCTGAGAAGCTACAGTCTCCTTTCAGGCTCCAGTGTTTGAGCAGCCAAGGAAACTTCTCCATGCAGAAACCTGTCCCCATAGACAGGATGTGAGGGCAGGGGCTTTTGCTGCCATTCTGGAAGTAGCCATCCCCAGAGAGCTTTGAGGCAGTGTCAGGCTCTGCCTTAAAGAGTTGGCAACACTCTGTACTTAAGGCAGGCCTGAGATATGGCCTAGAAGCCTGTGCAGGGTGCCACATCAAGGCAGGAGGGCTTGGATCTATCTCTGCTGGAGTCACACGTACAAGAGTAAAGGTTCTAGGGCGAAAAGCCAAGCCTCCAGGAAAGGAAAATGAGCTCCAAGTGGAGAGCCATCAGTTGCACACCAGGAAAGGCAGAGGGGGAGACCAGAACGCAGTTTCTTCTCTCTTGGCCCATACTCCTTTGCCTTCAATGAGTACATGGCACTATGGGTGGGATGGACAGAAGCCAGCTTAGAAAAAGACTTGGGTTCCAAGTGGGTTCTTGTCCTGATGTCCTGAGAAGGGGCTGCAGCATCCAAGAGAGCCACAGGCTCCCACAGTCTCTGTTATTAGGGTTCTTTTCTTCTAGGGAATGGGGCCAGAGAAGGGTGTGAATACCCTTGCTAAAATGTTTGAGTGAGATGGTGGCATCAGAGGCGGCTCTCCTGGGTGTCTGCTTTGTCCATGGGTGGTTCTTGGGGACACAACTCCTTGGAGGCCTCACAGGCCCTCTGAGGCTTGTCCTCTGTTTCAGAGGGAAAGCAGGCCTTGAAGCAGGCCCTCACTGATTCCTTTACTTCAGTCTCCAAGCCCTTCATCCTGGCCTCATACTCGTCCAGCGCCTTCTTCTGGAACTGTAGGGGCATCAGGGTGCTATTACTTGAGTCGGGAGGAGGCACTGCCCACCACCTCCAAAACTGGACTACCGAATACTAAGATGCCTAGTCTAGTCATAGCTCCCAAGAGACTGGGCTAGGTGGAGGTAGTGGAGCCCATCAGAGAACCTCCCAGGAGAAAGATCAAGCAAAGAAATCCACAGAGATGTTCTCATTTGAAAGGGCCTCGGGACACCATGAGAACCTGCCTGTGGCCCACTGATGAGATGTAAGGGTCGCCATCCCTGACCTCTTGCCCAGAGCCCCTGGGGTTTGATCCCTTCCCACCCTAGAGCTCATTTGGCTCCACTGGGGCCAAGACAGAGATCTTCTCACCTGCTTTTCCAACTCCCGGATCTGCTCCAGGCAGGCTGTTTGCTTCCCTTCCAGCCTCTCCTGGTGCTGCTCCCGGGTCTCTGTCATCTGGGTAGGGGTGAGAGGCAGAGAGTGTCAAGATGGTACAGGCAAGGTTGGGCTCCAGCTCTAATCTCGCCTAACCAGCAGTGAGACTTAGGACAAATTCTTTAACCTCTGGTTAGCTTTTCTTTCCTTCCTTCCTTCCTTCCTTCCTTCCTTCCTTCCTTTCTTCCTTTCTTTCTTTCTTGTAAAATAATGTAATAGTACTTGGCTCCAGGGAGTGTGAAGGATTACGTGTGACCATTCACAGGAAGCACTTGGCATACACAGTGCCTGACAAGGTCAGGCCACAGGCGGTGCAAGGTCTGTTCCTGTGGTCAGCAATGCCCAGGGAAGAAGCTTTAGGTCCATTCTCAGCAGGACTTTCCTTCCTCTTTCCAGTCCCAGGCACCTCAGGAAGCTTTCCTCCCCTCCCCCTCCCCTCCCATTCTTCCATGACTGGCAAACTCATGTTCCAGGACAGTTCCCTTCAGACTGGCACCCCAGTCTCTATAGCCAAGCCAGGACCTCAGAGTACTTCCTCCCATTCCTAGTTGTATGGACACTTCTGGACAGCGTGCCATAAGGGCTCAAAGGAAGGACACCCACATACCCACCCAGCCATTTGTACCTGCTTGATAGCCTGTACCACTTCCTGGATGTGGGAGTTGTTAATCTCTCTCTTGAGCCTGTTGGTACAATTAGAGTTTTATAAAGGGGCACGCCTGGGGGACAGAGTCCTATGAGTTCGACAAATAAGAACTCCATCGTTGAAGCAGCAATCAGCAGAAGATGGAGAGGGGCCACTGGGAGCCTTCTTTCTCGCTAAAACACACTGACTTAAAGGCATCCATGTGGGCACAGGTGGGGAGCACAGATGTCTAAGCGGACAGGCTCCATCTCCCTCTCTTTGTGCATGGGTTCCCTCCATCCCTCTTCTCTGCTTAAGCAGTGTTGGCATCTGTGTTTTGCTCAAGGGAGACTCTGAGAAACAGCAGTAGGACCAACTTGTTAAAGACCTGGAGAGAAGCAGGTCTGTGGGAAGCAAGTTAGGATCCCTTGTAGGGAAACCTTCTTCCAGCTGGAGTTGGATGTGCCTAGCTGGGCCTCCCCCTTCAGGCTTTACCTCTCCTGGACCACCTTGTCTGTGGTGATTTTGGTCATGGCCTGGATTCGTTCCAGTCTCTTTGCCTCCAGTTTTTTCTTCATCTCTTTGGTGTCACTGCGGGGAGACAGGGAGAAGGAGATACTCTGTGAGCTGCCGCCTTTGCCAGGAGGTAGGAACAGGCAGACAAAGGAGGAGATCTCACGTTTCTGAGGTCTCCTTGAAGGTCTTGAGTTCAGCAGCCTGTCTCTCTCTGGCCAGCTCCATCATCTTGGCGATTTGCTGAGAAGGAAGAAGGACGGGCTTAGCGAGAAGTCTTTGGCCGCACAGAAGGGGTGGGGTTGGTTGCTGCTGCTGCTGCCATGTCCCACACCTCGGCCACATGCTGTTCCTTGCGCTTGAGAACAGAGTGGTACTGCTCCTCGCCATGCTGTTGCAGCTCCTGCTCCAGCCAGTCCTTCAGCTCCCGAACGCGCGGGTCTGCACCCTCGGGAAGTTCGCTAGGCGCCACCACGACAGTCTCCTCACAGGTCCTGCGGAAGCCAGCCACGTGGGAACAGACCCTGAGTCAGGCGCCAATCCTCTGGGGGAGGGCAGGACACCGTTGAATCCTTTACCTCTTCTTGCGGGAGCCCTTGCCCGGGCGGAGCTTACAGCCGGCTGCTTGAGCCCGGAGTTCTGCCAGCTGTTCGGTGCCATGCTGCAGCAGCTCTTCCCAGCGCTTGGCTCCACGCCGCTCCAGCTCTCGAAGCTCCTTCTCTTGTCTCCGCTGCAACTTCACCACACCCTTCAGCTCCCTCAGCTCCTCCAAGCTGGCCGTCTGTGGTTCTGAACAGGCAAGGTTAAGGCGTCAAGCCGCCCATAGCCTCCTCCCTGCCCTGCTGTCCCTCGCACCCCAGTTGGAGGCCGCCCCCCCTCCCCCAGATGCTGTTTCAAGATCACAGGTTCAGGAGGCCTTACCTGCCACTTCTTTGGGCAGGGCTGGACTGTCAGGTGCCTTGGAGGCACCTCGGTTTGTATCCTGTAGGGTTGCAGTTTGAGCTCTCTGCAACTACCCCTTTCTAGTGCAGAGGCTTCATCCTCCCTCCGCAGATGAAAATGTTAGTCTTTTGGGGACTGTGACTATGGTGGGACAGGTGGAGAGCTGTATACAAGACAGGTGGGCCCAGAACGACTTACCTGTTAATCCACTGCCTGCAGAGACTGAGGCCCCATTGGACTGGCTGGCAACAGGAATCCCGGACTGGAAGGGCTTCTGGGTGAGGACAGCCTGTTAGAAAGGCGGCTCCAACACCGATTTCCCTAAGCAGGAGACTCTGCCCCTCCCCACTCATTCCACAGCTCCTGGAAAATTTGGACAGTAGTCCAGGTAACACAGACCTCAGGCAGACTTCCTGTCACCTCCTTGAGCTTCACAGACTTCTTATCATGGGCATTGAAGTACTTGATGGGGTTGGCGAGAGCCACGGTAAGATCTGGGAAGCACAGGGCATGACCAGCCTGGTATGTATGAAGCTGGGCTGGAAGGATCCACCTACCAACCTTTTCTTGTTCCACTGGAGATACCGGCTTAACGAAGGGAAAGGGAATGGACAGACTGGGTCCCGTGCCACAGGTCTCCTACCTGCCCACGTGTCAGGTACATAGTCCTTCATCTCCAGGAAGACAAAGAGGGCAGGCATGGTAAGAGGCATGTTGCTCTCACTGCGCAGGCACAAGTGGTGGTAGCCTATTGAACATGATGGGGTGGGTGGTGACGGTAAGCCAGAGCCCATTCCTGCCCAGGACTACACCAAGAGCATGTAGGATGCCTGGCTTTAGGGTCAAAGGCCAGAGTCTTAAGTGTAACGCTATGCTTCCCTACCATGCGGCTTTGAGCAGGTTAGGTTAACTCTCCCAGTCTCTCCTCATCCATCAGCCTTGTGTGCTTACTATGAGAATGTGTTTTAAGCTCCTCACACATTTATATTACGTGTTTATGTATTTACTTTGTGTGTGCATGCACATACAAGTGCCTGCAGAAGTCAGAGGACAGAGTGTGGAAACAGGTTCTCTCTTTTCACCATGTGAGGCCTGTCTAGGGTCAAACTCAGATCATTAGGCTTGGCAGCTAGTGTCTCTACCCGCTGAGCCACCTCCTCAGCTCCTCTCACACATTCTAAGTGCCCATGGATGCCAGCTGCTCAGGAACCTGTAACAGGGACTCCGGAAAAGCATGGGCATTCTGTGAGGTGGGCAGAGTTCCCACAGGTCGGGAAGAAAGTCTATTCCTGTCCCACTCCTTAGGTAAGCTGATGACATGAGGCTGGTGAGGTCTCAAAGACCCTGCCTGAAGCCCCGCCCCCCACCTCTAGAAGGGATGCTGGTCTCCGTCTCAGAGTCTCAGCAAGTAGGTAAGAGGTCCATTCTTTACCAGAATGTAAGGCATTGATGGGGATGATTCGGTGTCCAAGAAATTTGTTGCCTTCTTCCATCACAGCTATTCTGAGGGAGGCCAGCTCAGGTATCAAGATCTAGGAGGTAGATTAGGACAGGAGAGAATGAGGAGTGGGCATGGGGAAGCCAAGCTGCCCCTCCCCTGTCTCCAGAAGTCTCAGTGCCAGAGGCATCTTACAGTCTGTGTCAGGCTCACAATGGGAAAAGGGTTAGATGTGAGGCCCCGGACAGTGAGCCCCATGCAAATAGCCCTTGGCAGCTTTGCCAACCAAGGAGATAAAAGAACCCCATCATCCCCTTCCAGGAATTCATGTTTCTACCCTAAATTCTAATGTGTACAAGCTCCCCCGCCCCATACCCCTAATGAACTTGTGTTTGGGACTTCTGAAAGACAAAGTCATAGATGAAGGACAGAGAGAGGAAATAGTAGGTCAAGGAGCCCCTCTCCCATTGTTTCTTCTTCTCTGGAAGCAAAGGCTGAGAACTAGGGACAGACCCCAATGCCAGCCCCATCCCTAGCACCTTCTCAAAGACAAAGGGCTCCTCTTTCCAGACAGGATTGATGGAGTTAGTAGTAGGTGACAGCTTGGTGCGATAGCGCCTCTTGGGGTCCCCCGGGAGGCCAAATAGTTCCACTTCCACATAGGTGCGAACACTGCGCTCTGACAGGAACTGCCCAGAGATCACCTAAGGGTGAGGGCCCAGGGGAGACCAGCATTAGATACCCCACTTAGGTTGGTTCCTAAGCCGCTGGGGCCTTTGTCTCCATAGTGCTAAGTATCATAGGTATTAAGGAAATCCCCTTTCAGCACTGGCCATCAAATAGAGGCCGTGTGGCTCAAGATTTGCAGCCAAGCTCTAAGGACCTGAGTGCTTCCGGCACTCGGGGGAGAAGTAGGCCACCCACATTTCTCCTCAGACAAGAAGGGAGCAACAAACATTTTCCCCCTGGTCTGGAGCCTGAGCTTCTGCTGTCCAACATGGCCCAGTCACCCTCCCCTCCCCCACTGGAACCTCAGCCCTTCCCCTTGGTTTCCATGGGGACCAAGAGGCAGACTCCTGTGCTGAGGAGGAGGCAGTTTCCAAGGCAACTTGCTACTGCATGAAGTGGCTGGGGCTGAAGTCTTCAGGATAGCAGGGAAGGGGGTTGGGATAGAGGGGTGGGCTTCTCTGCCTTCCTTCTCAAGAGCCCAGCCCTCCCAGCCTCTAGTCAGCCCTGCGCCTTGCCGTAATAGAAAGGGTGGTGGCTACCACCACATCAATGCGGTCCACGGAGAAGGGGTTGAACTGCTTGTCCAGACTGCGCATGAACTCATGCTTTAGGAGGTATCCACTCTGCCCGTTGAACTCAAACAATGCCATGTTCTGCTGCATTGGCAGGTCTGGGGGTATGAGAGGATGGAGTGAGGACGGTGGAGCCTGAATCATTCCCAGTCTCTTTTCAATACTTTCAAGTCTTTCTTGCCTTGGGAATGGGGAGATCTGGGGAGATCACGAGGGTGAGGGTTTCTCATATCCCACTCCAGGGCCTTGGGGTATCTAACCTCTCAGGAAGGGTTCTCAGCCTAGAGTCAGCAAGGAGCAATGATGTGACTGGGCTACAAACTAACAGTGGATCTGGGGATAACTGGCACAGGTATTTCCAAAAACACAGCCAAACAGAGCAGCCAGAAACCATGCCAGCCTTGGTCTCTTATGTATGTTCCAATATATGAACAGCTGAACAGGCATCAGGGAATGTCCCGCCCCCCTCAAGTGCTCACATACCAGGACATGGTCCTAGAGCTTACACAACCACCATATCCAGTATGTACCAAAGATCCTCCAGGAAGGGGTAAAAATGGGCTAGACAGGGCCCAGGAGAGGGTTCTTGGGGTCCAGGAGTGTTCTTACCCATTGTCTGGAAATTGAGGGCAACCATCTGGCATCCAGCATTCCAGAACATCTGGGGCATGTAGTTAGAAGAGTCCATTCGTGTGCCCTTGGGGTACACTCGGCTCATCTGGCGTTTATTGTAGCTGTTGCTGAGTATAGGATCTGGCCAAGGCCACTTGTACCAGCAGGACCCCAAGCCCTCCCCCCAAGCCCCATCCCACCAGGGACGCTGGCTGGTGAAGCCTCAAGGATACTCCACAAACTGCATCGAGGCCTTGGAGAGCAGCTCATTGGCCTTGAGCTCCGTGAAGGAAGAGATGACATAACTTCTGTTCTTCTCTGTGCAAGGGAGAAAGGAAGGGGAAGTCTACATCAGGCTGTCCTCTCTCTCAGCCATGTCCTCCTTTTGTGGTACCTTCTTCCATGGAGCAATGCTTCCAACCCTGGACTCTGAGGATTCTGTTGTGGTCTCAGGGTTCAGCAGCCAGATTGAAGAGGAATGCATGGGAAAAAATGTGCTGGGGTAAAGGGACTTCACAGTGGACATGCAACGGGAGGGAACCGGAACCAATGTCCTAAAGAGTGAGGGCTACATGCCGTAGAGGGGCACAGAGGGTGTGGCGGACATATGAGGCTGAGTTCAGGTATTAGGAACATGTAGTCTACACACCGAGTGAAAGAAAAGCTGGAGCATGAAGTTGGAAGAGTCCGTGTGTATGCCCCTGGGACACACAAAGCACATATGCTGTTTGTTATTGGCTGTCTCTGAGTATAGGTGGTGGTCAAGGTCATTTTCACTGAAAGGACCCCAGGGCTTCCTGCAAGCCCCCATTGAGGGGACTTTGGCCTCAGGGATATGCAGGCAGTGACATTTACAGGGAGTGAAATGTGCAAGTAATTAGCAATTGCAAAGGGGGACAGCGGTGTGCTAAGGGCAGTACCCCACCCTTCAGAGCACATCTGGACATGCCCAGGTTGTGAGGTCAGTTATGGGGAGTCAGTGTTGCAGAGAACCAACAACACAGGAGTGTTCAGAAAGTGCTCATGTTGGGGAGACACATGGAGGGTGGGAAATGTACTTGAGTGCAACCTGAAAAGATCAGAGCAAATAGCATGTAGACACACAAAAGGGGAGTACATCCAATGGAGTAAGGGAGTGAGAGCATCAGGAGTTTCTCTGCCTACCATCCCACTCTCATGAGCGTTCTCTCTCTCTCTCTCTCTCTCTCCCTCCCTCTCTCTCCCTCCCTCCCTCTCTCTCTTTCCCTCCCTCTCTCTCTTTCCCTCCCTCTCTCTCCTCCCTCCCTCCTTCTCTCTGTCTCTCTCTCCCTCCCTCTTTCCCTCCCTCTCTCCCTCTCTCCCTCTGTCCCTCCCTCCCTCCCTCCCTCCCTCTCTTCCTCCCTCCCTCTCTCTGTCTCTCTCTTTCTCTCTGGACAGTCCTGGCTGTTCTGAAACTCACTATGCAGTTTCTAATTCAGAGATTCACCAGGCTCTGCATCCGCAGTGCTAGGATTAAAGGCACGTTCCCCTAGAAACTCTTACCTCCAGGACTGAGGCTCCTAGACTTGGAGCAGCACTTAGTATAATTCAGGCTTGGGAGCTGCAAAACTTTAGAAAACTGCAGAAGCCCCAGACAGATCTGGCTGAGGTGGCCTGTCATAACGACCTGCCTGTCACTGACACACTCCAGAACATTCCATTTGCTGCCAAGTTCTTCAGTCCAATGCTGGGAGCCATTGTCACTTAAACAAGCTCTCTGCCTGACTCCTCAACTGGGTATTTATAGACAAGGACCTTAGTGCAAGGAGGGGGAAGGTCCCCACTTCCTTTCATCCCACTCACCAGGCCACTCTTGAACGAGGGCAGCCTTCTGAACCCAGCCTGCCTTCTCTCCCCCACCTCCCTGTACTAATGTACGTACGTGCAGAGAACTCGAAGGAGATGAACTTGGCAGGCTGGATATAATTGACAAGGCTGGACATTTCCTCATAAGCTGTCACCTCCAAGCCTGCTGTGCCCTAGAGATCAAGTGGGAGAGTGAAGGCAAGAACAGTGCAGAACCCAGTCTGCAGCCCATGCCCACCCAGAGGGTACCACAGTGGAGAAGGCAGAGGAACTGTCCCCACACACCTCATCCGACTGCATCTTCTTTATCTCTTCTTCATCCAGGCTTCCTGACTCCTCTTCCTCTTCGTCCACCACCTCCTCTACCTCAGTCCGGTCCACCTCAGTCCGGTCCTCACCAGTCCACACTGCCACACAGTTTTGTCAGCACTGGCTCTCCCCAAACCCCACCCCATTCCTGTGACTCACTCACCTGTGTCATCCTCTGTAGGGACACTAGATGAGCAGCTGCCCTCAGCCTCCCCACCAGGCTTCTGTCCACCAGGGCAGGTGGGGGATGTTGGCCCAGAAAACTGGTTCTTCTTATTCTTAATGAGAATCTTGCCCCGAAGGTCCTCAGGGCTGGGCAGAGGGATGCCAGGTTTCAGCTGTGGAAAGGGGAGAGGTGGGCACCATTGCTTCTTTGTGGTGTGTGCTTCCTACCCCCAAGCTGTGTCCCTCTGGTGGGGCCCATGTCTGCTGCCTCGCTTGCTGCCATGGCCCCTCGTCTTGAATTCTCATTTGACCAAAATTGCCTGATCCTTGGCAGTAATGTCTCTTTGACCCATTCCTTCTGACTAGAGTGAGCGTTTCCCATGCTGACTGAGTCTTTGTCATCTTCTAGCTTTCACTTTAACCATCACACCCCTCCAGGAAGCCTTCCCTGATCCTCCAACTCCCAAGCACTGTTTCCCATAGCAACCACTGGCTGTATTTGGCCTGGATACCTGTCCATCTTCTCATGAACAGGGTCAGAAACCTGGGACAGCAACTGTGAAGTTTGGGTTTGCTTTGTTTTGTTTGTTTGTTTTAGATGGGATCTCACTATGCAGCCCTGATTGGCATGAAACTTGAGATCTTCCTGCCTTGGCTTCTCAAGTGTCATTACTAGCAGACTCCTAATTCTAGCATACTCTCTGACAGGTGGCAGGTGACTGACGGGAGCCCAGACTCACAATCCAATCAAAGAAACGCAAGTATCTCCACCCTCCTAACCTGGTTCCACCTTTTCCCAGGTCCAGATGCCCTACAAGACTGCACTCACGGGAAATTTTTCCAGGGGATCTGTGAGCAGGGTGTCTCCAAACATGGTCCTGCAGTATTCGGCCATCTTAGCCTGTTGGCGGGGTCTGGTAGCAGGGAACAAAAGTAAAGGAGGGGTTAATAGCTTAGCACCAATTCTCTTGCCCACCTTTTGTGCCCTGATGACCCAGATCAGAGGCCCAGGATGTGGGGGAGATAGGAACACAGGAAGGAGAAGCTGAGGTCCCAAGGAGGCTGTATTGAGACCAGAGAGCTCAATGACGGACTAGAGGCTGGGGACAGTACATGTGAGTGGGTGGGGTTCAGGCAAGAGGCTGGGGTACGGGTAGAGAACTAGGCTGAGTAAGTCCGGGTACGCACGAGTCCACATGATTTTCAAATGACAAGATGACAGGATAGGGGGAGGTCTTAAAGGCACTTTCTGCAATGGCTTCGATTGCTTCCTAGAGGAGAAAGGAACTCTGTAAAGAGGGTAACCCCTCCCCTCGGTGTCCCTTCCCATGGTGCCTCTCCCACTACTTAGTTTTAGCATAGACATGAATCTAGATAGCCACTGTAGCCTCCAGGCAGCATGACGTATTCCAGATAGTTCTTCGTTCAGCTTCATTACCCTAATTTCAGAAAGCTTCTCCTCAGCCCCTTTCTGACGGCCACTGTAACCGGTCTCCATACCGCAAGACCCACCTTGAACAAGATATCTGTGGTCATGGTGAAGCCATGGGTGATAATGGGCTCCTCCTCGGGGGGCTTCCCCTTCCAACAGTCCAGCTCTACACAGCGGCAGCCAGACAGCAGCACCTGGCGGTACATCTCAGCCGAGGAAAGGCCTGAAAACTGGCCAGCTGAGCCAGCAGAAAGAAGGGGCAAGGATGTCACTCCCAGCCAGGCCAGTCCCCTCACAACTTCATTCTGTCTGTCCCGTTAGCAGGGCAAGCAGTAGTTGAGAAGCATCCCTGGAGAATCCAGAGTCCAGGAGCAGCTGGACATGGGGTTTCCAGGACTCACCTGTCAGGTAGGTATTGTGTGAGGAGTTGATGAAGTAGTGATTCAGTGGCTGTGTCATGTCGTGGTGGAGCAGCAATGCATTGTGGGCCAGCACACTGTTCTCTGGTCCACAGAGAAACCAGACCATGCCCTCTGGTGACAGCTGGCCTGCAAGACAGTGGATAGCAAGCAGTCATGGCTGCAGCCCAGCTCTCAGGGAGGGAGGAGACTACAGGAAGTAGGGTTCGTTAATCCTCACCCCTCTGCACATTGATGCCGCTGGGCTCGTACTTGTCGATGAGGGCCTGCACCTGCTCAGGCCGGGCTGGTGGGAACAGCAAGGAGTTTAGTCGACAGTCTCGCTGCTTCTGATTGATGAATTTGGTCAGATGCTCCTTGGTCATGTAGGGTTTAGCTTTAGCATGGCTGCGGGCCAGAGAAAGGGGCACAGATGTAGTCTTTGGGCCTACAGGCTTGGGCCACCCTCTTCTATTGTACAATCTTGTGATTCCCAAAAGGATGGGTGGAAGGAAGGAACGGCCTCCTTGCTGCCACTCCATGCCCAGCCCAAGGAACTCACTAAGAAGTGAAGATCTCATCGATTTCTGGCCGAGGACAGAGACTCATGAGGAAGCTCTTGTATACGGACTCTGGGAAATCCTCAGGATTGATAGCATCATTCTGGAAGAACAGTCACCTTGTTATCCTTCATCTCATCCGCTCAGAGCTAAGACTCACCACAACCTATCCCCAGCTCTGGGAAAGGTTGCCTGATCAGAAAGAGTCCTCAAGGCAAACAGGCAGCAATCTCATGGGCATGCACATCCCAAGGGGCTTGCCATCTGGCAGCACCAGCTAGCTGGCTTGCTTTGACGATGATTTTGGATAGTGGCTAGTTTCATAGCTGGAACAGAACTGGAACTAACATGAGCTTAAAGAATGCCACAAGCAAAGGGTGCTGCTTTCCTGCTCAAGTACTGGGCTTTCATTTCTTTTTTTATTTTCCTTCTTAAGTGAAGGACAAATTCTCTAAAGAAACTATTTGAACACAGACAAAAGATGCACCTAACAGTAGAGCCCTGAAATATGAGAGGTAATATGACAGAATTGGAGGGAAAAATAAATCAATTCAACAATATCAAGGTATTTGCCTAATATGCACAAGACCAGCACACACACACACACACACACACACACACACACACACACACCCACACCAACAAACAAACCACAAATAACTGGGAAAAGCAAAACAGACACACACACCCACAAAGGGATAAAAATCACACTCCATCAAAATTTAAAATATGTGTGCTTATAAGGATACCATCAAGAAACTGAAGGCTAGCCTGTGCTAAGGAAGGCAGAGAAGGGGGGAGGGAGAGAGAGAGAGAAAAGGATAGATAATCCACAGGATGAGATAAAATATTTACAAATCAATTATCTGTTAAATGATAATTCAACAAACAAAAGATAACCCAAAGAATGAGGAGACAGCTTGACTGTTCAGGTACCAGCTGAGCAAGCATGAGGACCTGAGTTCAAATCCCCAGCACCCACATAAATTCTGGTCTCAGTGCTGTGTGTTTGTTGCCCCAGGGTTGGGAGTGGACAGATCCCTGAAGCTCACTGACAGCCAGCCAAACATGAGCTCCAGGGCCAGTGAACGCTCTTCAAAGAATAAGATGGAAGTAGGAGAAATGGCTCAGTGGTCAAGAGCCAATACTGATCTTGCAGCGGACCTGAGTTTGATTCCAGGCACCCACATCAGATAGCTCACAGCTGCCTGAGATTCCAGCTCTCGGGGGATTCTGTGCTTCCATTGTGTTCCCCCAGAAAACAAAACAAACATTAAATACCATTCAAGATCACACTGGGAAGTCAGCTTGAGTCTTAATTGGGAGGTGAGGGTCTCCCCCAGCCCAGCTCTGCCTCCGCAGCCAGTCAGTGGCCTCTACTGGGACACAATAAGGACACAGCTGGGGACAGGAGCTCAGGAGAGAAGGTGGGTGGGCATTACTAGAAGCAGGCAAGAACTGCCTCAGGAGCCCCTTGCACCTTCTCCTCTGCCTCAGCCTGACATCCAGTGTGCCTGGCTGCACGTGGGGCCAGCAGTGATGTAGAAGCTGGGCCTATAACAGAGTATTCCTCGCGTGGTTCATAAGGATAGATACTTAGAGTCTTAGTTTTTACTCATTTCTACTGTTTTAAATTCGTACCAGGAGAAATGTTTCACAGGGTGAGGGCTGTAATTGCACAAGGGCACTGGCCAAGGGGGACAAGGGCTTGGGGACTAACACCACTCCCCGAGCCAGGCTTGAACCTTGGCTATCGGCCGTATCTACCCAGAGAGCTCTTTTTTTGGTAAATCACGTAAGACATCTCATGGGGTGACCCTGCCTCAGACTCGTAATTAAAAATTAATTGCTTAATTAAAAAAGAAGTGGAAAATGTGTTTCCGAATTGAGCCGAAGTCTGTGCCCTGGCAGCTTCCACCCTTGGCCCTGCTCCTCTGCCCAGCGCCCTGCAGGACTGGTCCCTTCCTGGAGCTGTCATATCCACCGCCTCTCTCCTGTCCCTGCTGACCCTGTTTTGCTCTCCCACAATGGAAACATCTCACTCCCATTCCCAAAGCTAGGATAGGAAGGCTTGCCGTGTGTGCTCTGTCCTCCCCAACACTGCTGCTGGCACTGTGGAATGCAGGCCTCCCAACTCTGAATCCAGCACTGCACACCCTTGCCCTGGTCCCGCCTTTATGCCTAGTGTCAGTAACCAGAGGTTCTGGGCTAATCGGCTTTGGGAGCTATGGATGGGGTGGTGATGCCATTTCTGCTCTCCCCCTCCATGAATATCCCGGCCACTTTTGTCCTGGTGGGAGTGAGAATTAGAGTTGACTGGGGGTGGGAAACTACTCACCTTGCCTTTTGCAAGGTGACAAGCACTGAGGGCAGCTTCTACTCGTTTGCGATCAGCAGGAAACATCTGGAAAAAACTGAGGGAGCAAAGAAAAGTACTAGGTAGCAGGGGAGTCACGCCTAGGGAGGGCACTTGGGTAGCCGGGTGGCAGTGAGGGGGAAACGCAGGAGACTCACTTTTTCACGGGAATCTTCCCTTCAGGGTTGAGCTGCATCTTAAGCTTCACCAGGCTGGAGAAATGGACAGTAGCCCATCAGGCTGGGAACTGGCAAGCCAACCCCTTGAGCTCAGATGTGGGGGGCCGGTGGGGAGGTTACTTACATCTTGTCTAGGAAAGTGCTTCGGGGAGCATTGGCTGTCATCGGGTGTTTGGCGAGAGCCAGTATATCCTCAGCCCAATCCTGCAGAACACAGAGCCTAGAAGTCACGCTTCTGGTCACAAGTGTCCGAGCCCCTCGGCCCAGGCCTACAACTCTCGCGGGAAGGTCAGGCTGTCCCAACACTCTTCCCAGGTGTTGCCAGTGCACCTTGCCCACATTCTCCTTGTAAGAGACGAAGTTGTGGAAGGTGAGGTCCACCATGTCAGGGCCGGACACCACTGTGAGGGCTTTCATCAGGAAGTGGTTATCTGGAAAGTCCATGTTGAAGACTTCCCGGAGTTTCTGGCTCTGTAGTGACACAGTAAAGGTCAGAAGCATGCTCTCAGGCTTGCCAGCATGTCTTTCCTACATCTCCTCATCAGCCACCCCAACTGCAGGCCACTGGGGCAGAATAGCCATGGAACCTAGGAAACTAGGAACCATAGACCTCAGTATCCCCCTGCCCTTGGCTCCAGCAACTGGCATGGAAAAGGGAAGGCCCATTGGAAGAGCTTGGCTAAGGCAACGGGACCTGAGAATCCTGGGAATTCTGTTTGAAGAAAGATTCTTAGCTCCCTAACTCAGGGAATCTGACTTCAACTGTCAATCACTTCACTCTTACCAGCTTTAGGCAAATGTAGGCAAAGCAGTCACCAAGCAGTGGGGAACAAGGGTAGAAGAAACACTTCCTAGACAGCCTGGCATACTTTGGGGCAGGGATTGGCTCCTCCTCCTACATCCCTTCCATCTTGGCTCACTGTGCCCATGCTCAGAACTTAGGCCAGCGGAGCAGCCGCCACCGCATCATTGTGCCTTGGCCTGAGCTAGACTCCTTGCTGCCTAACAGCCCAGGACTCATCATCTGGTCCCACAGCTGGGCTCCCCAAGCCCAGTAGAGACTTGTTCCTTGCCCTATGCAACTGGTGGCTGCTTCTGGGCCCACGTACCTTGGGCATCTTGGCAAACTTGCCAAAGCGAGTATCTCGGATGCTCGTGATATCCAGAAACTCCATCTCCTGGTAGCAGTTCCCAGTGGGAACAAAGAAGGGTGGGGACATAAAGGTCAGGTAGAGAATGAAGAACACAGAGTGGAGAGCACTAATACATTCCTTCAAATCCTACTGCTGCCGTCTCTGGATGCCAAGACTACTCGAGATTACCCCTCCCTCCACTTTCTACTCATCCGTTTCTCTCTATTTATCGGATTCTCTTTTCTCCTTAGCCCATTCCTTCTCTGGAATAAAGAGCTGCAACCTCCACTTTGCCTTCCATCCTGGAATTCCTCAGACCTCCTCCTATCCCTCTGTATGGCTGCTGAGCCTGTTCTCTGAGTGCTGAGCTCTGATTTGACCTGGAGCCACTGTTAGATCATTGCCCTTCAGCTCAGCAACTTGTTTCCCACTTTTTCCAAGAGATACTAACTCAGGACTGAGTAGGCTGCAAGCAGAAGTGACTACAGCTTCCCTCCCTTGCCCATGAGAGCCCCGGGAGCTCCTCTCCCAAGACATTCTCTACTCCTCTGCACCCTTGCCCCCATCCTATACCACCAGGGTCTAGCAGAGTTCATTGGTGTAGTTGGAGCTGAGGACATGTTGGATAGTGTCTTACCTTACTCTGATATGTCCAGTATAAGTAATAGCCCTTGGGGTCCACACGGAGGATGACTGGGGAGGCAATTGAAGTTTCCTGCAGAGAGAAAGGGTCAGCTCACTGCTCTGAGATCTCAAGTCAACTTCCCTGGCCCAGGCCAAAGATTCAGACAGAGTCCAATGTTCTTCCTAGAAATTGGAAGGCATCTCCCTTTGTTCTCCTAGCTAACAGGGGGCGGCCTTGAGAATGGGAGATAGAATTGCTGGAAGAGAGGTGGTGCACTTTCTGGACCCCAGCAATGCCTCTCCCTCTTCATGTTCTCAAGGGTCATGGCTCCACCAAGGGATAGAATCTCTAAGATTCCTTGCTACCATCCTGGAAAGCTTGACCCAGTGGGAGCTGAGAGCCTGAGCTCTGTACAGCCAAGGCTCTGTACAATACAGCAGCGGACCTGCTCCTCAGAAGTCCTTCCATCCAACCATGAGCACTGTCTACCCCCCCCCTCATCCAAATAATCCAAAGAGACACCAAGTACTTCCCACCTCCAAAGTAAAGTGCTCAAGCCTCCTCAGCCTGAACTGTCTCCAAAGACCAGCCCACACCTCACCCCTTCAGAAAAGGGTTTCCTGGAATGTGTTGTTATTAATATGGGGGTGCAGTCAGGAACTGTTCCCAGATGCAGAAACATCTTTGGGAAATCCCTATTAATTCAAGGACCCCAGGGCTAAGACTTGAACTTGGAGTTTGCTGAATAAGTCCATGAATGAATGTGTGAGCTGGCCTTCTAAATTCCTATTCCACTCACAGAGTACATAGGCCACCTTTTATTTTAATAGTCTTTGCATACATAAACAAGATATTACAACTGAAGTTTCCAACAATACATGATTATTGCTTCTGACACACCAGACCAAATATGGGATCTGCCAAGAAAACGATATAAAGATTCCCACATTAGAGGTCATTAGAGTATGGGGGAAAGATTTTGTAAAACAGCTGATTTTGGGGAGAGCTGTGTAGTGAATTCTGAGTCCTTTCCTCCCCAGGGAAAAGAGACCACTTGCTCCCTGACCTTAAGACTAGTGTGGGATAGAGTAGACTGGAAACCAAGCAGTTGCCAGGCAGGCCGCCTCTGAGTACACAGTTGTGGCTGTATGGGATGAGCCTGTATCTTCAGAACTAGCTGGACCAGAGTATTGGCTGGACTCAAGTGGACTCATGGGTGAGAGATGGGCAATGGACCCAGCACTTCAGGGAGAAGTAACTGGCAAAAGGGAGCTGAATAAGTAATTATGAGTGATCCCCTGAATACAGGTATTGGGGGATTTCAAGCAAGTGAGCTCCAAGACATGGAGGAGGGTCTCCCCCAAGAAATCATTAAAAAGGTTACCAGAGGAAAAATAAGTTTTAAGGTCTGCCAGGCTTAGAAATTCCAAGGCAGCTGTTAACAGCATATACTCAAGAATGAATTCCCACACCTCCCTGTACCCCACTTAGAAGAACCTAGAAAAGAAAGAGCTGAGAATACCACCATTGGCCCTTCTAGTGAGCTTGCAGTTGCCCTGGAAAGAGGAGAGCAAAACACAATGAAAGCAAGGTTGGAGTTTCACTTCTAATTTGTTTCTGGAACAAGACTGATTTTTTTGGGGGGGGGTTGGTTGGTTGGTTTTGGTTTTCTGAGACAGGGTTTCTCTGTGGCTTTGGAGCCTGCCCTGGAACTGGCTCTGTAGACCGGGCTGGCCTCAAACTCACAAAGATCCACCTGCTCTGCCTCCCAAGTGCTGGGATTAAAGGCATGAGCCACCACTGCCTGGCTTAGGACTGGGTTTTGTGGGGACTGTTGAACTGTCCAAGGGTGAGGGTCATGTCTGATAGTTTGCCAAGTTTCTTCCCACAACTAGGAGAGGTTTTCCCTCTAAGTGTGTTTTGAAGGGGCTGTGGGAGACTAAACAGTCGGGTTTGGTTTGTAAACCATGCAATACAGTAGGATAGATCCCTGTCATCTACTAACATGGCCCGAAGCAACCCAAGAGCAGAACCTGGCTCATAGGTCATGTGTCCTGTGACCAGGCTTGGGACGTTCCTGCTCATGTAAGTCAGGATCCAGGGATCACACAGTGCTCTGGCTTGGGGAAGTGAATGGGTCAACCAGACACACAGGAGAGAGAGAGACAGAGAGAGAGGGAGGAGGGAGAGAGAGAAGGAGGGAGGGAGAAAGAGAGAGGGGGTGGGAGGGAGAGACAGAGAGAGAGAGAGAGAGGGGGGGGAGAGAGAGAGAGAGAGAGAGAGAGAGAGAGAGAGAGAGAGAGAGAGACATAACATGTCCCTACCTCTGGTGACCCACTGCCCCACTCAGGTTATACACACTGCCCAGAGGAACTGAGAGCAGTCACTTCACTTTTCATTGTGAGTCATTCCCCTCCTTCCATAGGCTTCTAAGACACATCCCATCACCTCCCCGTCACCACCATTCCACACCATTCCACACAAACCAAAACAAAACTTCTAGGGAGACAGAAAGCATCTCATCCTAGGACCTCATCCCCACAGTTTGGGCAACCAGATGTTTTAACCTAGCATAGCTCCAAAGAGTGTAGATTCGGGTTCCCCTCATTGCACAGAGAAACCAGACAAGCCAATTCAAGGAGCTGAAGTAATACTTGCAGGTGGCCTGAATGCCATGTGATGCTGGAAACCCCAAGCCTTCCTAAGGATAGTCTAGAGCTCTCTTAAGGAGGCCTGTCCTACCCAAAGGACAGTCCTCTTTTTGCTCTTCCTAGACAAAGAGATTCTGTGGTAGTGGCAGTGTTTGCAGGGCCCAGAAGGAGCAGAGACGGTTTAGCAAAGAGGAGACTCGGTGGACTGGTGTACAAAGCCGTCTTCCCCTTCCCTGCAGACAGGTTGACAGGTAGTAAAGTAGAAGGCTGAGCTGAGCCACCAAGGAGAAGCAGAAGTCAGCAAGTTCCTTCCCAGGCCCCAGAAGCTTGAGCCTCAAGTTTTCAACTCTGTCCACAGCGCTTTTTTTTTTGTGACGGCCCCCACAGCAATAGCTTGAGGGAGAACAAAGTTTCCCTGGGAGAGGACACATCTTGTTCTGTGGACTGGGGTGGTCGAGCTGGTTATGGGCCTCCTGCCAGAGCAAACTTGGGTGTCTGTGCTGGGAAGGGAGCCTAGCTGACCTCTTTTGCTTGCCCTGTCTTATAAGCTCAGGGATATGCATTTCCCCTGCCATCTAGAAACGAACCTTTATCATCTTTAGAGATTTGAAAAAGGGTCCAAATCAGGTCCAAAGAGATCACCTTTTCTGATACTGCCCCCCTCTCTCTCACACACATACAGCCCACCTCCTCACTCCCAGACACACAGGCTTCCCTGCAGCAGCCAGGGACACCCATCCTCACCCCAGACTTGTTTATCTAGGCTGTTGGGCCAGCTGCCTGGACAAGCCACATAGGCGCCTGGGTGCTGGGAGACATAAATCAACCCGCCCGCCCGTTCTGCAAAGCACCCAAGCTACCGAGCACCGCAGCGCCACTCCCAGGGCCCATCCCTACTCACGTCGTCCCACTTGATGAAGCGCTCGCCTTGGCTCAGATACGCCTTCACGTCAGGGGGCGACAGGACAGGGTTGAGCAGAGACATGATGTCAAGTGTCCCTCTTTGAGGAGGTTGGGCAAATACCAGCAGACAGGAGGAGAGAAGGAAGGAGGGTTAACAGGAGGGGAAGCTAGACTGGGCTCACATGGCACCCGCCCAGCACTGGTCCGGAAGTCAGGGTGTTCTTATAACCTACAGGGTGGCAGTGGCTGGGTGCAGGGCTCAGAGCTTCAGGCAGGGGTCTGGTCGATCTGCCTTGTAAATCAGCCTCCTCCTCTGTCTGAAGTGGGGGGCTGCAATGGCTGTTTCTGCCTAGGGGGCTGGGCTCCTCTCCTGGGAGTCCCTCCCCACCCTCTGCCTCAGCACTTCCTGTTCTGGGCTTCCTTCTCTGGGCTGTGAGGTCTAGAAGTCCTGAGGCCAGGGCCTCCGTTACCAGGATAGTCCTCTTAGATCTGACCCGAAAGCTGGAAGAGAATGATGTGAGGTGTTGGACAGCAGGTGATACCATTATGGGCCTTGGAATAGGGATGGGGAGTGGGTGGCAGGGCACGAGGATCTCTCTAGGAAAAGAGTCCTCCACAGAGCAGGGGTTCTGTCTTCAGAGGATGGGCCCACTCTGAAGGTGGGAGTCAGGGACAGGCCATGCCAAGCCCCAGCTGGCATTGAGTGTTTTGAATAAGCAAAGTTGCTGGAGCACCCATCTCCTCTTTCTCAACGCTTCCTCCTAATGAAAATGAGGGTCAGGTGAAGCAATATGCCCCTCACCCATGACATTTCTCTGGGCTTTTGAGCTTCTGAGTGAAGACCTAAAACCTTCACTGTTCTACACGGCCTGGAGAAGCCCTTTGCCCCCAGCCTCCATTGAGAGCCCCGTTTCACACACTGGGACCCTGGGGGCCAGAGGTTCTAAAAGGCAGAAGCAGCCCTGCTCTAGACCCCTGCTCAGGGTGTCACGATCCTTACACTGTCCCTATCTATCCCATAGGTCCAGGTCCAGCCCAGCTTGGCCCCAGCCACTTCCTCTTACCTAACCCACTCTTATCGAATTTCTTAGCCCAGCTGGGGAGGCTAGAAGCTCTACCCGTGGTTTCCTTCCCCTCTGAGGCCCTGGCTTTCTGCAATAGATCCCACCAGGCATCTTTGTGCCACCCCTGATGACTGTGAGGCCTTCCCTGTGCCCTGGAATTACTTCTGCTGGTCAGAGCCAACACAGGAGAGTGGGGGGTGGGCACGGGGAGAGCAGGCTGGATGGACAAGTTAGCTAGCATTAGTGAGAAGCAAAGGTACAGCTATGGGGCTGTGGCACATGCCAGTTGCCCCAACACTTGCAAGTAGGAGGAGGGGGCTCAAGAGTTTAGGCCAGCCTGAGCTACAAGACAGCCTTCCCCTGCCCCCGCCCCGCAAAAAGTAGTGTGCATGTCAGTGGAAGCTGGCTCAGAAATGGTTCCCAGAAAAGCAATTCTAAGACCAGAGAGGCAGAGCCTATAGCAAGATCTAAATGAGCCACCAGGAAACAGCTCCCAAACTCCTACAGGTGACAGGTGCTCCAACCCCTCTCTCAACTTCTCTCCTGCCCTCTCCCTCTAGCCTTGGATCTTCCTGGGGGCCTCTTCAGAGCTCCTGCATATCTGCCTGTCTCCCTAGGGTCAGGTTCCCTCTCTGTTTGAATGAATTTTGCAAGGGAAATCCCTGTCCCTTCCCAAAGCCCTACACCTGTCACCTGCAACGGATCTGGCCCCCACATCCAAGTTCCTCCTTTCTGTCCTGCCTAAAGCCATAGGCCTAGAAGAGAGCCTAGGCATGAGGGATGTTTCTGTTCCTCCTTCAAAAATTTCCGGACTCTGCTCCTTCAATCTCAGACCCTAAGGCCACAGAACGAAGGTTTCATATCCCTATCCATTGATGGCACCTCCTGGACAGGTCCTGGGATTCCCAACTGTAACCTCAATGGAGGCATGTAGTCTCCAACCAAATCCTAATGCTGGCCCTAAGAATGGCAAGCCACTTGAAAGACCTTTACTGAACTTAAAAATACATATAAGTTGCCCAGCACTGTGGCACATGCCTGTAGTCACAGCTCTTTGGAAAGGCAGCTTGGAGACAGCAAATTTCAAGACTAGAGCTTGGAGCATCTCTAGAGGATTGCTAGAGCTCTGTTTGGAGTTCTAGGCCAGCCTACAGACTGGACAATGTAGTGAGAGTCTGCCAAAAAAAAAAAAAAAAGAAAGAAAGAAAGACTAAAAAAATCATTAAAGCTTTTAAAAATAGTAAGTTGACAAAAAATGCAAATAATAGAGTAGCTGTGGCAGAAGGAAGTCACAGGAATACATTTGGGGAGTTGGCCTTGGACTGACTCTTGGGCATTGCTGATTGGAAGGCACTGCTGGCAGGAGGCCAATCTGGCCCCCAGGGTGGACCGCGGAAGGACGAGGATGCCCCCTGCTGGGTGCACTGGAAAGCCAAGCCGGCTAGGGAAAGAGGCGGAGTCGAGGAATCAACCACTCCAGGAAGTCGCTGGTAGATCTGTGTCATTTGTGATACTGAGTTTGACATGTGGGAGCTGTGGGCTGCGCAGACAGGGTAGGAGCTTACACTCCACAGCAAGGGGAGGAGGGGCGAGTACGTGGGGGGAGGAAACCGGGGGGAGGGGGAGCGGGCTAGTAGGTCCCAACTTCCCGAGATCATTTGTCAGTGTGGCTCCGGACTTGCAGGGTGACTGGATTTCCAATCTGCTCACCAAAAAAAGTTCAGGAGTGAACTTCTGAGCTGAACTCTTATCTCCAGGCGTAGAGTTACCGGCCAAGTAGGTCATTTTCCTACATGATGCAACAGGATTCAGGAATAGGGAGGCACACTGTGTGCTGCGGGCCAATGGCTATCTTGCTCCTGAGATGGGTCACGTAGTGCATCCTTTGGCATCTGTTTCCCACACACTACTCTATGAAGGCAGCCAATCACCAAGTAGGTTTATCTTCTGATACCTTGTCTTCTGCACCTCATCTTTCTCACCTATAAAGTGGGAATAGTCCCACCTTATGGGGATAGCCCCAGCCTGCTGGGGCAAGGGCTGGGTCCAGGAGAAGGCAACCACTCCCGGAGGCTGCTGATAGATATGGCATCTGCAAGCCCATGTGAATTTGACATGTGAGCACTGTAGGGAAAGAGCTCACGCTCAACAGCTGCCTCGAAAGGATAGATCCCACCTTGCCGTGCTCACAGCCTGACCTAGGACACCCCTCCCGCCTGGGCTCCCCCAGTGCTGGAAGTACAGGCATGTACCAGTGTGCCCAGCCTTTTTAATTTCTCCTTGTGCAGTTAGTCCCTGAATCCATGGGTTCCGCATCTGTGGAGTCAACCAACCACAGATGGTGAAAAGTGGCATCTGCACTGAAAATGCAGACATGTTTTCCTTGTCACTAGTCTCTAAATAATGCAGGGTAACAACTATTTACATGGCATTCACATCATATCAGGCATAAGTGATCTACATACGGCTTAAGGATGTGGAAGGTATGGTAGGCAACATGCAAAAGCTACACCATATTATGTAAGGGTGTCTTTGGATTCTGCCGTGTATAAGGGATCCAGGAACTCACACCCCATGGATACCGAGAGACAATTTTATACATGCTACGCTTTCCACGAGTGTCTTCACTGACTTACTGTACGTACACACACACACACACACACACACACACACACACACACACACACACCACTGTTTGTATGAATCAGGTGCTGGACCCATCTCCCCAGAGCAAGCTGAATTAGCGATGCTCCGAGCTGTAGTCTTGAAATCTGCTGTCTCCAAGCTGCCTGAAGACACACAGTTTTGAGCAATAGGACTCAAATCATTAACAAACGGCAGCCTCCCATGAGCAACTCAGCTCAGCCTCCACAGCTGATGAGACAGACACAAGAATGCCGACCCAGTGCTATTGCTGTGTCCAACTGTGCCTCAGCTGAGACTCCACCAGCTGCCCACTGCAGTGCTGAGTGTGAGCAGAGGAGGGACAAAGATGGAACAGGTGCCAAGACACTTGGACAACCAAGAAGATTCAAGCACCTCTGAAGCTGGTATGGCCCAGGCCTGTAATCCTAGAATTCAGCAGGCTGAGGCAGGAATTGTGGCCAGTTTTGGCTACAGAGTTGAGTATCTGTTTAAAACAAAACAAAACAAAAAGAGCATAGATACCTACAATCTAACACTCAAGAGGCTGAAGCGGAAGGATCGTAAGTTTGAAGGCAGCCTTGGCTACATAATAAGATTCTGCCTCAAAAATAAATAAGTGAATAAATAAAAGTTCTCTAGAGCTGGGCATTGGTGGCACACACCTTTAATCCTAGGACTCAGGAGGCAGAGGCAGGTGGATCTCTGTGACTTTGAGGCCAGCCTGGTCTACAAAGCGAGTTCCAGGACAACCTCCAAAGCAATAAATAGAAACCCCGTCTCAAAAAAAAAAAAAAAGAAAGAAAGAAGCAAACAAAAAAAGGTCTCTAGAATTCTAGGGGTAAGATGTTGCTTGTCGTTTCCCTCCTAACCCTCTGAGAACCATCTGGAACTTCAAAGTGGAAAGAACAGTCTCGAATGTGGGTTTTGTTTCGGTTGTTTTTGAGGCAGGATATCTCTGTGTAACCCTACCATAACCCTGGCCATCCTAGAACTCACTACGTAGATCAGGCTGGCCTTGAACTCACAGAGATCCACCTGCCTCTGGCTTCCCAGTCCTGGGATCAAAGGTGACTGTACTTTCCTTTTGAAGTGCCATTGTGGATTAAACTTACCTGCTCCAGTCTCGGTGGGAGTCTGTAGTAAATGTTGGCTGTGGGCTCTTAGCAAAATGACTGAGCTTGGCGTTCTAATAAACTTGATCATGTCCTGATTCCTCTAGTTCTAAAAATCTCTTTCCAATTAGGTGGGCCAACCTTGCCACCTATGTCTCCAAGAGATGGTTTCCTCAGGGATAAGAGCTGCAGATGGCAGAGAAAACATGACGCTTGACTCAGTGTTTCTTTAGACATGGTCACTTAGCTTTTCTGCCTAT